GGGGGGGGGAATAAGAAACCAACCTTTCCTCGAGAGAAATGGCAGAGGAATGGAAGTGCACAGGAGCATAAAACAAAAAAACCAACCCTCCATAAAAAGGGAGTACAATTCAAAGTATGGTTATTTTAGAGTTTCGCGGGGTGGCGGAAGAATCCCCGAGAAGACACTATGGATTACCGCAATTTATTAAAGGCAAGCAAACATAGAAACAAATACAGAAGCAAAAAAAAAAAAAAAAAAAAAAAAAAAAAAAAAAAAAAAAAAAAAAAAAAAAAAAAAAAAAAAAAAAAAAAAAAAAAAACTATACACAACATATGTAAACCAGAACAACAAAATAATGAAAAATAATCGAGAGAACTCTAACCTTTTAGATCAATTGACAGCCCAGAGACAGGCTTACTATCACTAGCTTCAGCCATTGCTTTGGTTACAGTTTTCTCATTTTTACCAGAAGACGAGACAAACTTCCGGTAGAAAAATGGCGATGATGATATATTGCTAGAACTCGAAAGCTTAGCCCATGATGATGCTTTAGAACTGCTGCAGACAGTTGTTCCGCATGGCTTCAAGCCTTTCCTAGACTGGAACTGGCAGTGTCTTAGTGTTGCTATCTGGAGGTTAGAAGCTGCTGCCGCCATCTTCAGGAAATAGTATCTCGCAGAAGAGAATAGAGATCTGCCCAATTTAACCACGGGAACAGTAAGGAACTAGGCTTCAAATGTTGAATAAAATACCATTTCATTAATGTGAAGTTCAATGGAGGAGGGAAAAAATAGTGATCTAACTTGGCTACTTTTTAAGGTCACAATAGACAACTTCAAATAAAATACAGGGGCAAAAAAAATAATAATAATAATAAAAAATCGAGATTCTGGTTTTTCTTTCTCTGCTTAGCTGTTTAAAACTTGGGGGTTGGAATCCACTAATATAACCAATATTCAAGATCCGAAGCACCAAAATCGCTATAAGAATTGCCAAGCTAGTTCAGTTCCAGTTATGTATTAACGGCCCTGATTTATTAGAAAAGGACGAAACCTGTTTATCTCGACATTAAAACACTCATTTCCAAACAGGATGACACAAATTTATTATGCCATTGGTTTTTGTAATCCTTGACCAATTATTTGGCACAAGATCCTCCTGGAAAAAATATATTTCCATCGCCATTGTAGATAAAATTATTTTCTAGGGATAACAAAATTATATCGATCAGTCAACAAATGGCGCAAAACCACTAGTCATAGTAAGCTAAAACGGACAAGAGACTCGCTCGTGGTTTCCAATAAAGAACACCAACATGTAACTACATTACAAAACTCGCATTCGGAAACAGAAATTCAAGAGATTAACAAAATTCGAATATGAAAACAAAACTCCATAGATCTACCAGTTAGATTGCGCGAAAAACTAAAACGAAACTAAATCGAGAAAAGGTTGAAACAAGCTTCTATTCGTTGGAGCAGTGAAATGCTACTGAAAAATTGGCCACAACACTACAAGAAGAGAAAGGAATTGCTTACATTTTTGTGACAGAGAACGGCAATGTGAAGAGAAAAGGGACTTTGGAGAAGTTAAAAAGCAGAGTTTCCCGAAATCCAGAAATAGAAATAGAAATGAAATGGGAAAAAGTGGGTTGGAAACGAGAATGGTGAGGTAGAAGCTTATACGGGTTTCGATGATAACAAAGATGGAAGGGGTTGGGGCTTCGAAAATGTCGACGGCCGCGAAGTAGATCGCGCGTACACTGTTCTCTCAATGTTTTTCCCTCTTTTTCAAAGGATCCATTTTAAAAGGTATTTTACCCAAATACCCCCCATCAAATTCTCCCACTCTAGTTAACTATTTAATGAATGTTGGGGTAGTGATGGAATATTTACTTGGTTCTTTTTAAATAGTGGTATCTCAATTTAATGAAACGGATTATTACTCAAACTATTTAGTTAATCAGTATTATATATCAAATTTATTGAATTAGATAATTTAGTTAAATATTTATTTACTTAGTAGTTTTGTGGGCTATTTGGACTTGTGAGGCATAA